GCAGGCAGCTTCCTACCCCTACCCCATCCAGCCAGCAGCCCAGGTGCTTAACCCTTTAAGATCCCACCTAACATGGCTGGAGAGGTAGTTTAACTGTTAAGAGTACTTACTGCTCTTGCAGAGGACCCAGCTTTGGTTCCTAACACCCATACGGTGGCTCACAACCTTCTGTCACTCTAGTTCCAGGGAAATCTGATATACTCCTTTTAACTCTGCCAACACCCTCATATGCATGGTGTATGTACATGCTTATAGGCAAAACACTCAAGTCACATGCAATAAAAAGAAATAGAACCTTAAACAAGAGAAGATCCTACCTAGCAGCTGACATTATGAGTACACTAGTTTCAGCCAGCACATTTGAGAGGCTTGGAGTGAAGATTCTCTAAAATGGATAATACTTAAGTCAAGAGGAAAATCACATTGCCCATTACACTAGTGCAAGGGCCATAGACAGTGCAGTCAAAAAAGCTGGCTCTAGTCTGTCAGCTTGAGCAAATGACTCATCTTGAATTCTCAGTTATTCACATGGACTATCTTTTCTGAGCTCAGTGTAACAAATAACATATTTGAATGTTACCTACTGTTCCTTGGTTATGGGAAGCAACCTGTCAAGCTTAGCTCTTTCTTTCTCTGTACTAGCCAGAGCACCTTGTCCTGATGCCAGAGCACTTACAATGGTTTCTCCTCCTCAGCATAACTGGCACTAGGATTAGGTAATTTGTTGTTGGGGCAATTCTGAGCCTTCCAGGATGTTTGGATCACTCCCAGAAACTGGTAGAACCAATCATCCAGTTGTATAAGCCCAGAATACTGTAGAGAACCACTTCAAAATTCACTCCAGGGAAAAACACAAACATTTCATAGGGCACTGGCATACAACCACTTCAGACTCAAATGGTGGAGTTGCCCGTGAATATGGGTGGGAGATTTCTGTCTTGGTCACTGTTCTATTGATGTAAAGAGACATTGTGAACAAGGCAGCTTTTATAAAAGAAAGCATTAAATGGAAGGCTTGCTTGCAGTTGCAAACATTCAGTCCACTGTCATGACAGAGAGCAAGCACTGGAGCAGTAATTGAGAGTCTTCATGATGATCTGCAGGCAGAGAAAGAAAGACTCTGGCTTTGGGGTGGGCTTTTGAAACCTCAGAGCCCAATCCCCAGTAACACACTTCCTCCAATAAGGCCACACCTCCTAATCCTTTTAATCCTTTCAAATAATACCACTCCCTGGTGAGTAAGCATACAAATATATGAGCCTATGGGGCCACTCTTATCAAATATTTCTTTCTCAGGACAGTGAAAACATTCACTGTTTGCATCACTCTTTCTGTAATTTATTCTGAGCTCTCTTTTCTGCAATTTATTAGACTATCTGATTAGTTAACATGTGTTCTGTATCTCCAACTCACAAGCTTTGCATGAATTAACTAGCTGAATGTTTTCCATGGGTCTGCTATCCTGATAGATTTGCATTTCATCATAAATGGGTATCTCTACCAGCTCTCAGAATGTTTGCATTCACCAGGTGGCTGTTTTATATAATTGTCATGATGCTCCCAGTGAAATAATATTGAAAATATTGAAAGAGTAGAAAACTAGTTAATGCAGATCTCAGTGTAGTAGTTACACAGAAACATCAATTCCTTTACAAAAGGAAAACTTTCTGAAAAAAGTAAGTGTACTTCCAACATTCATTATTAGTGCAACATACTGTCAGAAAAGGGGGACACACGGCCATTTGAAAGCCAGCTGTTTTTTAGTACATGTCTTCTGAAGAGGGGTCAGGAGTAATGAGAACTTCTGACTCATTCGTACTTCATACTTTATTTACCAGTCTCAGGACAATAGAAAAAGACAGCATCTTTTTCTATTACAGTATATCTCTAATATATATTTAGATAAAGTTCCATATCACTGCATATCTCTCTGAATTCTTATAGCAATTCTATAATATTTAACTTATAATTACTTATAATAATGTGAACAGTTACATCAGAGCACATCATAAAATCCTGAGGATAGCTCTGCAGAAATAGAACTTACCACCTTTGAATGTTTTGCATGCTATGTGCTGTACATGCCTTTATGTCATGCTTTCTCCAAAACATTCTCTAGGAAAATGAGGTCTGAACATATTTTATAATTTTATCTTTAGTAATTTATTAACCATACAGAATTAAAAAAAAACAAAAATGATATGGAAAGTCCCTTTTCCCTGTAACTACCCTTATTGCTAAAAAGTGGTACATTAAAATTACACCTGTATAAACACCAGTTATAGTTACTACAATTTTGAACCACCACCACCCCACCCCCAAGTGCCAAGTATGCCTTCTAACCGGTATCTGACAGTCTACTCTCCAAGGTACAAATTGTGATTCTCTGTGAATTATGATATCATTTTAATGGGTTTGAAAAGTTAGAGCCCCCCCCAATGAAATCTAACTGAACAGGAGTTTTGTTGGTTTTTTTTTGTTATTGTTGTTGTTTGTTTGTTTTATTTTATTTTATTTTTACCATGAGTAGGACATCTCAGACTACCTATGTCTCTGAGCCTAAATGCTATACATTTCCTGACAGTCCTTGATGGCTCACCTCCATGGCTTTAGAGTTTCTCCACTCAATCCAACTGCTGCAGCAAGATGCCCCCATGTCAGATTTAGTTACTAGGAAGATTGCCACAGGAATGCAGGAAACAGTATGTTCAGCACTCATCCAGTGCGTCACATACTTGGAATTTGGCTGGTTTTGTTACATTATGCTTAATGTGAGATTCATGAGGTCCCATTTATTGATTGTTGCTCTTAGAGCCTGTGCTGTTGGTGTTCTGTTCAGGAAGTTGTCCCCTGTACCAATGAGTTCTAGGCTGTTCCCCACTTTTTCTTCTAACCGATTTAATGTGTCTGGTTTTATGTTGAGGTCTTTGATCCACTTGGACTTTAGTTTTGTGCAGGGTGATAAGTATGGATCTATTTGCATTTTTCTACATGTAGACATCCAGTCAGACCAGCACCATTTGTTGAAGATGCTGTCTTTTCTCCATTGTATGGTTTTGGCATCCTTGTCAAAGATCAGGTGTCCATAAGTGTGTGGGTTTATTTCTGGGTCTTCTGTTTGGTTTCGTTGATCCACCATTCTGTTTCTATGCCAGTACCATGCAGTTTTTATAACTGTTGCTCTATAGTACAGCTTGAGATCAGGGATGGAGATACCTCCAGAAGATCTTTTATTGTAGAGGATTGTTTTAGCAATTCTGGACACGACTCCCTGGATATTTGTTGAGATCTAGCTGTGTTTTCTATGTCTCTTTACATGGTGTGAAGGTCTCCCAAAAGCCTCACAATTGGGGAAGATGGAGCAGAAATGAGACCCAGGCTTGTCTCCCTTTGTGACTCAAGGTCCTTCCTCAAAAGCACAGGAGTGGACAAAAGGAAAGTGGGGGGAAGGCTGAGGAAGTCGGGGTACAGAAGGGACTTTCCCCACTGCTTTTCTAATCCACAGTTCCAAAGGCTTAGTCGATATTTCAACATTTTAGATATAAAACTTGCTTTTGCAATCAATGCAAATATTACCCAGTGATTCATCCCTTCCAAGTGACTCTTGGTTTCTTTTGACATTATATTTTAAAATTATGAATTAGCATTTACATCACCATTATGAATTAACATTTACATAACCTCAGCAATTATCAAGGCTTTATAAGTCAAGATTCTAAGTCGCCCAAGTGTTTCTTGAGCTCCTTTAGTGACTTATAGAGTTGTGTTTTTAGACACACATAGTCTAAAAACCTTGGGAGAGGGATGTTACTCTGACAAACTGCTCAGTTTGGTGGTTTGTCATGTTTAAAGTGGAGCAGTCTTCATTAGGGCTTTGTCTGGAGTGCGGACCAGGAGTTTGTTCTTCCATCTGTTAACTCAGCTGTTGGAATTCAAGTCTTTCCAGTCGGGATGAGAACCTGTTTATGTTAAGTCCCCACACTCAAATGCCTACAAAACCATCCAGTTTAAAAGAATAATTTTTATAATTTTAAGATGATAGTATAATTACATCATTTCCCTTTCTCCAAGTCCTTCCATGTACTTCCCTTGCTCTCTTTCAAAATTCGTGGCTTCTTTTTCTTTAGTTGTTATATATTTAAATTTATATATATACATGTATATATATTTATATATAACATATATAACACATATATATAACATATAGAGAGAGTTATGTATACATATATACACATATATATTTCATTTCTTAGTACAAAAATCAGTCAGCTCCATCTATATAATGTTACTTGTATGACTCTTTCCACTGGTATTGGATAACCAGTCAGTGTGCCCTTTCCTGGGGAAGACTGTTTCTCCTGCTCTCAGCATTCTTTATGTGCCTGTAGTTCTCTGTCTGGGGCTGAGGCCTCCTGAGTTATCTTCCTTTCATGTTAGCATGCCTACTGGGGCCATCCTTGTTCATCTATACACGTGATCAGTGACATAAAGACAGTTAATAAGGCGATAGTGTCACCTCAGCCTTAGGAGACAGCTTTCAGATTGTTAGGACAGAATGACACCACTCAGCTTAGTGGGAAACCTAGAGTCAGAAGGATGGTGTAAAACACTGTGGAATCAGTTAGTATCCAAAGTCACACACCCAGCAGCGGCAGAGCCCTGGTGTTTTGCATGACTTTATGCCCCTTTACTATATCCAGTCAATATTTCCTTGTCTTAACTACTTGCCTGAATAGACATATATTTAGTTACAGCTGTTTGAATTTTTTTTTTAAAGACAGAGTCTCACTGTGTAGCCTTGGAACTCACCATGTAGTCCAGGCTAGCCCCTCCCACACAAAGATCTACTTGCCCCTCCCTCCAAAATGCTGAGATTAAAAGCATGGTTGTGCCTCTATACCCAGCAAGTATTTCCTTTTTAAATGTGTACGTGTATTTAAATTATATGTGTGTGTGTGTGTGTGTGCCTATATAAGTTTCTGTATACTGTGTGTGTGCAGGTGCCCTCAGAGACCAGAAGAGGGATCCGATCCCTTGTAAGTGGGGTGTGACGACCGTGAACTACCCCGTGTAAGTACTGGGAGCCGAATCCGGGTCTTCTGCAAGCACTCTTCACTGGGGAGCCATCTTTCCAGCTTGCGTTTGAATATTCTCAAGTGTTCCTTACTTTAAGCTACCCCCCCCACCTCCCGCAGACCTGTGTTCCATAGGACATCCAGCTACTCCTTCCCCTTAGTTACTCACGGGCCGCTGGAAGCACTCAGGAGGCTCCCTTGCATTCCCATCATCACGTGGCGCTATGGCTCAAGAGAGGTTCACTGAAGCCTTGTGCCTATGGGGATGTCCTGAGATGCTTTCATTGGTGTGAGGTCTAGACTTCTGACATAGACTAGACAGTACATTGGGTTTACAAAGGACAAAGAAACTCTTCTTCCACGGGCAGGGGTATAAGCTCTAGGGTGGACACAACAGCCCTGCCCATGTTATCGTGGATCCAGAGTCCATCCACTCATAGGTAGAAGCCAAAGTTTCTCTACATTTGTGTCTTATCTTACAGGAAATGTGATTTTCAGGTACAAATACATGATTCTTTATGTTTACCTGGGGACTGAAGATAGTTGGGGCCAGTCTTATTAATGGCTGGCCAGAATTCAGTAAATTTGAGTTACAGGTTTGATGGTCTCGCTGGTATTTTTCTATTGTACTGTTTCGAGTTACAGAATTTCCATTGCACTTTGACAATGGCAGAATAACCTTCACTGGTCCTCACAAGAGGGCAGAGGGTGGCATTCTATGGCTCTTGTCTGCCCCCTCCCCAATGTAATACAAAACAGTATCAGGACGTCCTTAGCTTCTCAAACAAGTCTAGACAGTTCTAAGACCATCTCAGAGTTCATGAGAAAAAATACACAAAAGGGATAAGACTGTAAACCATTGAAGCTTAGACCATAATGAGTAGAAAATGCCCCAGGACTCCATCTGCAGGTGATTTTTACAGAGGTTGAACCAGCTATACCAAGCTGAGGACATGGTGAGCTTAGCGAGGGGGTTGGATCCTGGGAGCTGCCTACCATGAGAGTCCTGTGCCAAGGAGGAACTGCATGCACCATGCCCTCCTTCTGAAGCCTTTTGCAAAGGACAAAGAAACTCTTCTTCTATGGGCAGGGTAGAAGCTCTAGGGTGGACACAACAGCCCTGTCCATGTTGTCATGGATCCAGAGTCCATCCACTCATAGGTAGAAGCTGAAGTTTCTCTACATTTGTCTTATCCCTCTATATTTGTGTCTGTGAGCCCTGCAGAAATACAGCCTCAGCCTACATATATGCCAAGGTTGTGGGGGTTTAACATTCGTGCTGGTATTACAGTTTGATTTCTTTTCTTTTATTGTATACAGCTTCAACATGGCGGACGATGATCCATATGGAACTGGGCAAGTAAGTACTCACCTCACTCACACCTTCATTTAAATGCATTCATATTCCAGAATACACAAGTGCAGCCCTGGCGACTCAGTATCAGGCAGACCCTAAATTAGTAAACATTACTTTTTTTTTTTCAATTTATCTGTTCTTCCAAGGTTGGAGAGGGCACTTTCATATGTATTTTTCCATAAGATTGTAACATTGCCACCAATCCATTTGTGGTGACGCATGTCTGATCCAAGATTGAACACCCATGTGTATACTTAAAAAGATAGCTAGTGAATGACATTTCTAGGGCTACTGTTCACATTGCTACAAACCTGGTGAGTTGAGACGGTAGGACTCCTTTCAGATGTCTGGAAGCAAAAACTCAAAAGTGGGGGATGGCACGGTGGTTCCTGCCTCATGGAGCTTCTGTGCATCTTCAGAGATCCTTGGCATCCCTTGGCTTACAGCTACACCAATCACAGAGTCTGTTGTATGGCTTTCCTCCCTGTCTTTGCACACACATCTTCTCTGACTTATAAACACATCACCGTTTGGACTGAGGGCTCATCAACATCCAATGTGAATTCGTCTTAATTTATATATAAAGGCAAAGGCTGTGTTTCCAAACAGGGCCACATGAACGAGGAGCACTTAGGAATTCAAAATGTACTTTTTCAGAGGGACTGTAGTGAAACCCACTGTAGTCCATGGGAGTGAGTATGCTTGGAGAGCAGAGCACTGTTAATCACCAGATCACGGTTGTCATCACCATCGATGTGTTAGTAGCTGTGACACAGTTAACAGAAGGATATCTGTGTCTTCTTTTTCCGTCTAGCTTTTACACTTAAAAAATTCTAAACCCATAGAAATGTTAAACAGTCTGGTAATCTATGTTGGTTATTGATACTTTTGTTTCTTTCTCTTCTCTCCATAGAGAATATTTGGAGCATAGAACTGACCCGTGAAAGCAGTTTCTAGACTTTTAGCGTGATTACAGTGACAATATGAAAATGGACTCTAATGATCTTCTAAATTATTTAAAATACTGGTGTCCATTTGATCATTAGCTGTTTATTGAGACTCTTATTATGTACAGAACATTAGTATCCTAGAGATGGACAGACAGGTAATGTGCAAACTGACTCAAAGCTGCATTCTGGTTGGAGGAACAGAGAAGCACACTTCCGTATTCTGTGGATGTTTGCACAGTTCACTGGGGGACAGAAGCACTGAGAGGATCATTGTGCGTTTGTTCCTTTGGGGAAAGAGCAGGTTAAAGATCATTTTCTGAAGGCAGTCTAAGCTGAGCTTTAACAAGTACAGCCAGTGCAGGAACAGTACTTACCAAGGTAACCATGGCACAACATTTGATACCACTTCACATTTAAATTCTGGTGGTAAACATCTGAGACTCATTTCCAAAATGTATGCACACAAAGAATCAGCCAAAAAAAAAAAACAAAAAAACAAACAAACAAACAAAAAAAAAACTGATGATGAAATTTCTTTAGGGGATCTGGTGTTTCTATAAACAGGCAGCCCTAGAGCAGGAGTGAGAGCTACAATGGGCATCTTGTTCTCACCAAGCCAGTTAGAGTGAGCATTCATTACATTTCACATGACCATTCTCTCTTCTGATTTTGTTGTAAAAATGGTGATATTGGATAAGTCTAAGAACATTCTTCTTTTATAGCTGCATAAAAGAGACCTGGCAACTCATGTTATCAAAACCCTTGTTTTACCTTTCACTTTTAATGTGCTTCTTCTACAAAGGACAACTCTCACCAGCATGAGGGCTGTTTCTGCTTGGTTTTAAACCATGCCTTCCTGTCTATGCACAGGAAATCTCATCAACCAGAGATGGTCTTCTTTGCCACAAAAGTGTAAAACCTGCTGAGGACAGTCATTTTGAAAGTTTCTTATGTGGGCAGTTTTGAGCTGATCAGAAACAGCAGTGGGCATGTTCTGATATTTCAATTTTGAGGGGAGCGGAGGGCCTTGAAGGTTTTTGGTTGTGTTTGTTTATTTGTTTGTTTGGGTTTTTTTTTCTTTCCTGTCTTGAGCTCTAACTTTCTATTTTCTAAAGTTGGCATTCTTCAGGGAAGATCCTCAGGGTTTTAACACACACTAGTGTTTTTTGCTCCACCCCTCACCACGTAAGCACCACAGGCTGCATGCAGCACAGCCTCTGTCTTGCTGGGAGTTTTCCTCAGCCCAGTCCCTGCAGGCACCTGTAGGACCACGGCAAAGGATTTCTTTTCCAGGTCATGAGTTCTGCTCACGGTGGGGCCCCCTGCATGGCCTGAAACTTAACCGTTACAGGATATAGTTCGCCATTCTGAATTTCTTTGTTGGCAAACAGTGAATGGTATGAGTGAGCTTTGCTTTTAAGTATGAAGTGTAACACACCTTTTGCACCTCAATTGAAAATTTGCATCCCTCAAAACCGGACTGGAGTGACTTTCATTTAAACATCACATTTTAGGGACGTAGAGATTTTTTTCAGAGAGTGAATTGCTTACTGACAGCCTGAATTTTACCTTCCCCTCTAGACACACACACACACACACACACACTCTCTCTCTCTCTCACACACACACACATACACACAATTAGACACCACACACATATACACACTACAGACATATACACATATGAATAAAAAATGTAGAATAAACATTACTCTTTATTTACTAGACATATTAGGATTTGGGGTAGCCAAGCATGTCCAGTGATTTACTAATAAGGATAAAAAAATACTTCCAGCTTGCAAGAGAAAGTAAAATAAATACATTCCGTTTCCATGTTTTCTGCAAACATTTCAACAAATGACTTCTTGAAAATGAGACAAATTGTAAGCCCATAAATATGAATGTGAATTTCTAAAAAAACGAACTTCGCAAATTTCTTTTAGAATAATTATTAGCGGAAACATATCAAGATAAAGATTAATTCTGTCAGAACATACCACATGTCTGTTCTTTCAGTTTTGTTAGTTGCATGTTGTTCCTGTAACAAGTCACCACAATCTCATGGCTTGAAACAGCACAAATATCTTCCCTAGGGTAGAGTAAACATTCCAAAGTCAGGGTCCCGGCAGGGCTGCACCCCTCACAGCCTTGAGCCTCGAGAGGCTGCCTGTAAGTCCCTGGGGAGCCCCTATCATCCAGACCCCTTCCTCCCCAGTCAGACCTCACTCTGGTTTCTAACTCTCCAAAGCAGCACCCCTGCACACTCTGCCATTTGACAGGCTTCCATCAATGGCACATGCGGTGTATCCTTTCACTTAAAGCATAGGTTCTGGGGAGTAGCATGGAGACACCCTCGGAGCCCTTGTTCAGTGTAACACCCTGTACTAAACTCCAGGTATTTTACTTTGTAGTTGAAAGATAGGGGAGGAAGGGAACATGGACCCTGAATTCCATTTGCTCAGTTGTGTTGCCAGGCATTTTGTAGGTTGTATACCTACTGTCTGTAATTCTTTGGGGCCTTGAAATTCTGTAGCTCAGAAGGAATATATTTACCATCAAAACAGAAACACAGATATCTAATATTACATGCATGTGTGTGTCTGTCTGTATGCTTGTGCATGCGTTCCTATGAGTGTGCATGTGCATTCACACGTGTGTGGAGACTGAAGGTCAATGTTGAGCATCTTTCCCAACTGCTCCCCATTTTACTTATTGACAGAAGGTCTCTCACTTAACCTAGAGCTCATGGATTCAGCTGGACGTCCCAGCCAGCAAACCTGATCCTCTTGTCTCCATCTTCCCAGAGCTGTTATTGCAGACAAATGCTTCCAACCAAGCTTTTCACATGGATGCTGGGGCTTTGGCCTCAGGTCCTCATGCTTCTGCAGCAAGCCCTTTGTCATCTGAGCATTTCCACACCATCTAAAATTATACTTACATTCCTAAGAGGGTGCAAGATTCAAATCGCTCATTCAGCAGATACTTCTGAGGTGTCCACCATGCCTGAAGTTCACTTGACTCTGAAGATAGACAGTGGGATCTACTGGGCCCTGGCCTTTGGGAGGTCCACAGCTGTTATTTTCCTCAAAGTCTTTTGTAGCACAAATTCCACACACAGGAGCCCAACTGGGACTCACTGTAAAATAGTGACTTCAGGAATCCTATTTTTAGGTTCTCGTATCTAGTTTTCATTCTTTTATTAATTATTTTCTGTCTTCATTTAGTAATAAAAAGTTAGAAGAGGAATTAAAATATTTGTACTTTCTTTTTTACAGATGTTCCATTTGAATACTGCTTTGTCTCATCCAATATTTAATACAGAATTATATGCACCAGAAATGCCACTGTCAACAGGTAAAAAAAAAAAAAAAAAAAAAAACTCCTTTTTTTCTGTTGTTTTGCTTTCCCTTAAAAATAGCATTTTGGTCTGAAGCCAGGGAGATGTGGTTCAGCCCAAACTAAGTATCCGTGAAATGCCACAAGGAAGCTTGTTACTCTGAGTGCCTGGGACCAAACCCAGGCTCTGGAAGAGCCGCAAGCACCCTTAAACACTGAGCCATCTCTCCAGCCACAATAGTCTCTTAAAACTCAACGGTGTTCATAGGAAGGAAGTGGTGATTTGTGTTTTAAACCCAACCTTTCAGTATGCTTTCTGGAAATGTGTCTCACTAAGGCGTTTCAGCTCACTCACCCATTGTTCTAGCAAGTGTGGTTTCTGTTGTCTGTAAGCACACTCCAACAGGTTGCCTCTGCCCAGGGTAAGGACTTTCCTTTTCTCCACATTGTATTACCCTTTCATGCTCCTCTTTGCTTTACTGCAGCTCACTTGAGCCAGGCTCAGCAGCTTTGTTCTGATCTGGGACCAATGCTGTGTCAGGCAGGATGCTAGGCACTGGATAACGGTGTAAACATCACCTTCATATTCTGATTGGATAAAGCTTACAGTACTGACCCTCCTAACGTGACTCTGTTAATCAGTGAATCCACAAATTATTTAAAGTCATGTATGCAGTAGCACAGGCACTTCATTTAGACTCGGTTGGTTGTCTTGTGTGTTACCTTGGTGTGATGGGTCTTTTTACTGCTTTCTTTCTCCCTTCACAATACCTTTTGGAGTTAATGTGTTAGTCAACGGAGATTATATATAAAAGTACTTGACTGTCACTGAGGTGGACAACAGCTCTGTATATTCTGGATTTCTGTGTCTCATGTGGACACTTTATGTAAATTTTAACCTTAATCATTAAATGACCATGGTTGCTCCAGTCCTTGCCTTTCATTGTTTAAATCAGAAAGTTTTCTGCTTCTGCCTCTTCAGACACTCGTGGGAGGAAGGCGAATTACTGTGCCACCCCTTCCTCATCCTTACCAGCATTGACACTATCAGAGGCCTGTCTGTCTTTGCCCCAAGCCCCTGTCGTTTATCTGCGATCTTGAGCTGTCCAGTGTGCCCTCTAGGTCAGCTTCCTGTGAGCACATAAGTGCAACGGAGGCATCTGGGTTTCCTGTGAACTTCTAAACTCCGACATCCAAAGTGTTTTCACCACATTACTGCATTACTGAAAATGTTAAGGACTTGGTTCTGCGCACAGGAAAGGCACACATTTCTATAAGCTGCCTCCCGAATACTAAACTATCCCAAGGCAGGTAAATTTTCAAGTATGTTTTCCTTTTCCTTAGGCTTATGGGCTTAGAAACAAGATTACCGAAAGAATCATCACAGAAAATAGTCTGTGTTCATACCATGTGTGGTGGAAACCATTTTTCTCAGTGTTTGAAAATTCTTTAAATTTGTACCTAAAATTGCTGTCTTTTCCGATTGTGCCACCCTTCCTTTTTACTGGCATCTCCCCCTCTGCTTCATGTGTTGTCCAGTTTTTATAGTCCCAGATTGACAGGACATTTTGTTCAAATTTTAAAGGAATAGGAAGTTTATCTAAGCCAATAGTTGTTTGTAATTTTCATTTGTGTGTGTGTTTTTAATCTTCTTAAATTCTTAAAATGCCAAACTATTAGGATTTCTAACTATGTGTTGGAAACTCTGTAACAAGGGACAGCTGTTAGGTCTCTTCGTTTTTCTGTGATTTAATTTTCTCTGACAATGGAAGATCATTTTCCTGGCCCAGAAATATGGCCAACAGAAACTTAGTCTTGAAATAAACATATGCGTATCAAATCGAGTGTTCTTGACTTACCCGTGAATGTGCTCTTTTAAGCATAAAAGTTGCCCACTCCTCATGGATTTCACATGTGTGGCAAAGTCCTGAAAACAATCCCATGAGTATTTTCGGAAGGGCTGGTAAGAGGGAAGGGACGTGGCACCTCACGTCAGGGTGCTCCCTGAACTTCCATATTTCAGCAACATCTTGTCCAGATGCTGCTTTCTTCCTGGCCTGGCTTCTTGGTAGGCTCTTTAGGCTGCCCAGAGGGAATGTGTATTTGTAATACTGAACTACAAGCTGTTTGACATTCATAGCATGAAATCTTTTCTTCTGATCAGTGTTATTTCCTCAGAAAAAGTTAAATTCTAGCCATTTTCCTTTTGAAATTTAAAATTACACTTATTTTTCTAAAAGTTTAAAATATCAAGGAATGAACCTCATGAGACAGTTACATTATTTGTGGTACATTATCATATGCCTGGGCTGTTTTAGAACAGAGTACATATGAGAGCACAATGTCAAGAATTTTATGTCGTCATCAAAAGCTATTAATAAGATGCCAGGGTAGTGGTGCGTGCTTTTAATGCCAGCACTTGGCAAAAGTATGAGGCCATATACAGTGAGCTTCAGGCTAGCCAAGGCTACATGGTGAGACCCTGTCTCAAACAAAACAAAACAAGGCATGGATAAGGAAGAAAAAAGTTCTCCAGTTCTCACAGAGGGTGGGGAACAAGTCAGCGAGGCAATGGAGGCCCTACCTCTGGTTAAGGTGAGGGAAAGCATGGAAAGTCAGCAGTAGTGCCCAGACTCACCTTGACTCCCTCCTGTAGGTTTCTGTCTTCAGTTCTTCATTTCACACTGCACAGTTCTCTTTGGGGAAGGAAGCTCGTTGTCCAGATGAAGGCCGCCTGACACGCCCTATCACTCAGCTCACTGCATTGAACTGTATTAGTGTTGTAAAAAGCCTGTTGAGAGACTGCAGGCTGCTGACACTGCAAACTTTGCCAGCTGTCAGAACTTGTGTTTGGTCCAGCAAAGTATCGTCACCATTAAAAAAAAAAAAAGCCACTAAGAAAAAAAGCCATTTATTAAAATAAGCTGACCTTAGGGACTGGAGCAATTGGTCAGCAGTTTCCAGCGCTTACCACTCTTCCTGAGGCCCCAAGCTATGTTCCCAGCACACAGGGCAGTTAACGACCACCTGCCTTCCAGCTCCAGGGCCTCAGACACTCCCTTCTGGCTTCCTTGGGCACCAAACAAAGTACTCATATACAAAAGATAAAATAAATAAATATTTTTAAAATAAGACTACATTTAATATTTCAAATGAGAACACATCACATCTGTAGAATTTCACCTATAAAGTTGTTCTGAAACCTCTATTTAAAATATAATTTCAGCTTTTGACTTTTTTTTTTTATTTCATAACCAGATTCTAGAAGTCTCACAGTTTCTTTTGTTTTCTGTGCTGTGTTTGTTTTTAACAGATGGCCCATACCTTCAAATATTAGAGCAACCAAAACAGGTAAGAATGAAGGGGTAAATGAAGGGTTTGGTAATGTTAGAACTGCACATCTGATCTTAAAGCTCAGGCACTGAGTACTCACATTTGATCATAGAGTTTTATCTGGATGATCAACGGCCTGCCAGGTTATGCAATAACTTCCTGTGTCGACTTTGCATTTGTCTCAAGCATTCTTCACACGGCCTTGAAACGTCGGTTAATTATAAATCCTTGGTCTTCTGTGTGTCTTCCAGCTTAGCTTATCTCTTCTTCGAGGGAAAGCACGGGTGATTTCTGTGCATAAGGAGATACTCATGCATAGCTTCCCATCTTTTCATTCTCTATTGCTCATGTCCATGCCCACAGGCTGCTTCTCCTGCCTTTGTGAGCGCCAGCCTTTTCTCTGTGTGGAATGTGTATCCTAAGGCACTAAAAGGAGATAATTAGAGATAATTAGAACTGACTATGGGATACCCCTCCCCCTTGGCTTCAGTCCTAGCCTCTTTGGAGCAAGGAGAGGATCATTTGTTGTTGTTGTTGTTGTTTTGCTTTGTTTGGTTTTTGTCTGGCTCCTACTCTTTCTACTAAATATTGTACAAAATAGCCCTAGGTTGAAATGGCCTGAAAACTCTACATATATATTCAGTAGAAGCTCTGTAGCTCTAGTACTGTAAGAAAGAAGAGGATCTATATATCTGCTGATAGAACATTTCAGTTATTATGGGATGGAAGTTATAGTACAGTCTCCCACAGAATGAGGACCAGGTCACTAGGTCTCTGAGTAGACATGCTCTTTCCATCCACTGTGACGCTGAGGGACTGTATGCCTGGCCTACTGAGCTGTGGTGCCTGGTGCCTTTTCTAGGGTGTGAGGAGAGTGAATGTAACGTATTTGTGTTGTGTGGCATTTAACAAATGCTAAGAAGTAAAGTGTTGAGAGCACCTCGTACTGCACTGCAGAATGCTGATGTGCTCACTGTTAAGTAACAGAAGCACCTTAGTGATGGCCACACTAGTCTTATAAAACTGAACTCAGATGGAAGTGTGTACTCAAAGAGAGAAATGCTGCATGGAACGTTAGAACATGGTTCCTGTGCTTGCAGGTGGCCTCCTGACATCCCCCATTCCCTGAAGATAACACCTGCCCTTACGCTATCTATGTTCATCAAAGTTAGCAGTTCTCTCAGGCTCTTCTGGGTAGTTATGTTCCCTGAGCTTCTACCCAGTTATCTGGAATCCTGGATAATGTCCTCACTTGTAAGATTCGTTTAATTCATAAAACAGATGAGTCTAAATTGTACTACACATAAAAGCATTTTCAGATAATAATTTCAGGTTACATGTTAGACATCACTTTCCATAAGGTATGAAAGTATATGTATATGAAAATATACATTTAAAAATCACATTCATTTATTTTTTTTAAGTGTGTGTGTGTTTGTGTGTGTATGTGTTTATGAGTACAAACTTGTCTGTGGAGATGAGGTGACAACTTTTGGAACTTGGGGCCTTTCACTATGTGGGTCCTGGGGAATCAAACTCACACCAGGCCTTGTGGCATGCACCTTACCCACTGAGCAACGTCGCCAGCCCCCCAGAACCTTACTTTTCTAAGCATAGCTCTAGGAAAGCCTTTTAATGTGCAGTTTGTTATCATGAACCCCAGAGTCATAGGTATTTATGATTTATTTGAACATCTAGTATAGTTCCAGAATTCAAAATCTAATTCATCATGTGTGAAAATATAAAGTCTTATGTATATAAAACGTTGTTTGTAAGTCTGATTTTTATTTTGATATCTGGCTTCAATGAACATAAGAAGGTATATACAAGTCAGATTTTTTGAATAGATGGATATAGTTTCTCTAAGGTTAATGCCTCATTTTAAGTCAGTGGAGTTCCTGAAATGAGTAGGGGTAGATAGCAAACATTTAATTTCAAAATATTAGGATTAGAAATGTGTCCAGAATATGTACTTTAGGACATCTTATTTTTTTTTACCTTTTATTTAATTTTAAAAATTAATTTATTTTTGAGACAAAAATTTCTGTAGTCATTGCTGACTTTAAACTGGTGGCAATTCTTCTGCCTCCACCTTCCAACTGTTAAGATGTAAGCTTCCACATCAGCTCAAAAGCACCTCACCAGCCTAACAATAGAAATCTCCATCTTCAGAATAAATGCTGCTTTGTATAGGTCTTTTAATACTTTAATCAACCAAAAATAATACATAGGGTCCCATGCTCTACAATGAAATCATGTTGGTTACATGTCAGACACCACTTTCTATAAGGTATGAAAGTATATGTACATGAAAATATACATATTTTCCCAATGCCACAAGGAATTTTGTGATTAAAGATAAGGAACTGCTGTGCTATTTTTTTGAGTTAGAAATTTGGGGGGGGGCTTTTATACACATATTTTTCCTAGGTCTAATAGAAATGAATGAAAGCATAGATTACTTATCTTTAGACTATCCAGTTCCATTGCATATTTCTCAGTGTCAACTGTCTAATCGTGTCATGTTGTGTTGTGACTTGTCTTGTTTTAAGGCAGAATCTCACTGTACAGCTTTGGCTGGCCTCAGACTCACAGAGCTTCATCACATGCCTCTGTCTCCTAAGCACTGGGATTAAAGATGTGTGCTACCAGGCCAGGTATGGTGGTGCACACCTGTGATCCCAACACTCAGGGAGGCAGAGGCAGGCAGATCTCTATAACTTTGAGGCCTGCCTGGTCTACAAAAGCGAGTCTAGGACAGCTAAGGCTACACAAGAGAAACCTTGTCTCAAAAAAAAAAAAAAAAAAAAGACAAAAACAGTGTAATGTGTGCCACCTGATAGAGTTTTAAAATGAAGTGTGTTTGAATTTTTTTCAGTTAACTAGATCTCCATTCTTAGAGTTAGCCAAGTGGGGGAGCCAGCAGTTACACATGCCATTGTCTGGTTTTGGAGTTGGTAGGTTGAGGATTATCCAGACTGGATTCCATTAATATCTACAAAATCAATGATCTAATTCTTTGAAGTGCTGAGAAGACTGGCACATTCACAGAGATGTAGCACACGGGCACAGTGTAACACTCATGCACTTTATTTTAAGAGGCACATCTATGGTGTGCCCCAGGCCAGCTGGGATGGAACAAGTAAAGGAACTCCTTTAAAAAATTAGCATAACTCTTACTGATGTTGAAATGGAGAGATTGGCGGCACCAATTGGAAATGAGAGGCAACAGTTGAGAGAACTGTAGCACGAATTATGTCCAGAGGCTTAAACTCTTCATCATTCCCACTCGGCATATGAGGAGCTGGTGAGGTTCTGGAGGTGGGTGCCTGGCCTCTCCACCACAGTTCAGGGCACACATACCAGCTAGCATCATTTGCATAATGACTTTCAGAAAGTATTTCTCATGTGCATAATGGTCTTCCACAGTTTTATATGTTTAGAAACCTGTAAGTTTGTCATTGTTGCATTTGGTGATTACCGCCTGTGTTCACCTCTGCAGAGGGGATTTCGATTCCGCTATGTGTGTGAAGGCCCATCACACGGCGGGCTTCCAGGAGCCTCAAGTGAGAAGAACAAGAAATCCTACCCTCAAGTCAAAGTAAGTTTGAAGTCCGCTACTCTGACTGCCTAAGAGCAAAGCCAGGGAACACTTCAGGTGACTATGAATGGGATGTTCCTTTGCCTGTAAGCAGAAGTGTTTACATGGTCAGTAAAATTTAAATAAAAATTCATCTCATGGAAATGACAAATCTTCAAACACCATTAACATCTCTATTTAAGTGGAACAGTTCGAACATCAGCTAAGAAAAACATAATACCTCTCCAGAGATAGTCAAGCTATCCTTCAATCTTACAGTTTTAAAATTGTTTATTCTCTGGTGTTTTAGTAAAACTCTCAGCCATGTGTCACGGTGCATAGCGTAGTCCTTGGAGTATCAGGCATTCAAAGCTGGCTTTGGCTAGATAGCAAGTTTGAGGTCATCCTGGTCTAAGAAAACCAAGCAAACAAAAAGTGTCTTTGAGACAAATTCCAAGTACTGGGTTTATGGAGATTTCATGACAAAACAGTTGACAGAATATATAGACTATAAAGAATATTATTTAAAATCATAAAATTAAACCCAAAGTGATAATCTGAAAAGGCTTATTTAACTGTCCAAACATATAAATACAGGAATACTACTAGCATGTGCTTCATACAGTGTTTTAGAGGAAATATGCTTAAGTACTCCATAGATAGCCCGACAGGGACCCTGTGCAGCCACTTGGGTGGATTGTGTAGCTTGTAGAACTGGGTGAACTTAGGTGCACTTTGACCATCTTTAGCTTCTTACAGTGTTGATTTGAGTGAGAAAATTTTTCTCTAGGTCAGAGTTTTTATTTTCTTAATCCAGGACCAAGTTTCAGAGACTGATAATGATTTTGTAGGGACACAATAAAAACTTGCAATTTAGTCATTTGTAAGATTTTATTTATTCAGTAATTCAAGCTTAGATAACAATAAAAGTTAGCCGTTCCTTGGCCTCTGTCTTTCTGCTGGCTTGTTGTAAACTCAAAGACTCTGGTTGTGGAATGAAAGGTATTTTCTTAGTAAAGGTAATTGGACATAGAAGTGCAATGGCTTTAGCTTGAAGAAGCCAGTTATATTAGACAGGTTTTGTTTTGTTTTGTTTCTTTTCCAGAGAAATAGAACCAGTGGGATGAAGACGGGTGGATAGATGATTGATTAAGCAGTAGGGAGGGAGATCAGAAGAATTTGAATCAGCTGTTATGATTATGAAAGACAAAACATCGCCCTATGGGATGTACCAGGGATGCTACTAGCATTCTTGGCACAGAAGCCTGAGCACCAGGTAACTGCTGGGAACTCAGTCTGGACCAATGGCCCAAGATGGCGATATGGCGGTGCAGTGTAAGCCCTGGCGTCTGAAGGCCTGGAATTCTGATGCCCTGGGGCTTGAAATGAAGATTGTCCCTCATTTTACTGGGACAGAGGAAGGAGGAGGGAGAGGAGGAGAGGCTTCTCTCTGTGGTTTGTTTTTTGTTGTTGTTGTGTGGTTGTTGTTCTAGCTGACTAGACAGTTCTGTCCACATTGAGGGCAGGTCTTCCGCCAGTCCAGCACACTTTTCAGATTCCTCTGGAAACATGCACACATCAGGGAGTGGGGGTGGCGGTGATGCTTTATCAGCTTTCTATGTCTGTCCACTGAGGTTGACTGCACACCTAAAAATCTCCTTCAGGACAGTCAGTGGTTTTTAGTCCTTTAGAACCCAAGTGAGGAATGCAGAGCAGAACACCAGAAAAACAGGTGGTTTCTTCCACATCGCTGATTTGCCTCGTGTTCTCTATCACCTCTTGTAACATTCATTAGCATGGAGGAGCTGAGGCTTAGAATTAACTGGCTCTCTTCCAAGGGAAGAGATAGTAATATTTTATGAATTTGCTATTTGTCTATGTCTTTCTCTATGTCTGTCTTTCTCTGACCTACAACATAGTCACGGTGGAAGCCCTTAGCTACTGTTCTGTCCTCTTTCCTTGCCTAGAAAAGCCACTCTTCTGAACACTCTTTCTCTGAGGTGTTTTTATGTCTTACTGCATAAGTATGCATTTGTAACTAAAATCACTTACAAGAAAATTACTTTTTACTAGCTTTAACCGAAAGTTTTTATTTATATGATGCCTCCTTTTCAAACCAAATAAGGGTTAAAACTGGGCTGCCTGAAGATTAAACACTGAGTGATTTGATCCTGTCTATTCCTTTTTATTGTCTTCAGTGAGAGTACGGAATTTACACCGACCCTTAAAGCAAAAACATACATACATACATACATACATACATACATACATACATACATACATACATACATACATATGGGAAAGCTGGGGAAAATAAGAGTGCAGAATTTAAGGAAGTTTTCTGCTTTAAAAAAAATACATAATGAGTAATCCATTGTCCTGCAAGCTCTCACTTCCGTGTTCTCTGGGTTCTGATTTCCTCGGCGGCTCCTAGGAAGCAGCAGGGCAGGAATGACAGCAGAGCCTTCTCTGGGCCAAGCCTGTCGCTGCCTGTTCTTGACTCAGCAAGGAGTGCCAGGGAAGGCTCACTGCCCTCCTTTTCCCGAAAGTGGTGCAGAAAAAATTTAAATCAAAGTGCCTTCCTCAGGCAAATGGAACAGGGCCAAGAGGAGAAGCTACACGTGGCTTTAGGAATGCTTGTGCAGCCCGTCCTCAGGTTCTCTGCACTGGGCACCTTGTGAAGATTGCACATGAACATCCGTGGCTTTCATTTCTAAAGTACGGTTCATTTGTAATTGTCCGACGTCAGGAGCGTGGAGCACAGCAAGGCTAGTATAACTGTTCTGATCAGCTTCACTGGCAGCTGTTTCACTGCCCTTCTGGGGTTTTAGGTTCAGTGAAAGGGTGTACTGGAATTTGTAGGTGAGCAACAGCCTTTGGCCCCTTCTTCCCACCTACTGTAAAGTCTGCACTCTTAAGTGCCTTTCACTTAAAAATCCTCAATGCTAAGTTTCTGTCAAGGTTAGTACATCCCGGCTGATCTACTGTGGGCTTGAGGATATCACATATCTCTGCATAAGCTCTCTTTCCTTTGCACAGACTTGTCTGAATCCAGAGGCTTGCCATCCTAAAGATCTAGTTGGAACACTAGTTTTGAATAGTTTACCCTGATACAGTTACCTAACATGCCAAGGGGAAAGATCACCTTAACCGATTGGGCATATATTCAGAACTCAGTCCACAGCATTTCTTAGAATGTCCTTTGACACTCCTAAGTTGACTATTGTGCTCATATAAAAGAAAATAGCTGTGTTGTAAATACTGTACTCTGTGTTGTAACATACACATATGCAAACACACACACATACAAATACACATGCTCATTAAAACAAGGACTTTGTAACTCAAGGCCCATGGATCCTTTCATGTTACAGAAAGGTTTGAGACTTCTGAGTTTATGTATATTCATGTGTTTTTTTATATACTTTTAAAACACATTTCTAAAGACTCGAACATGTATCTGAATACTGCTGAAGGGTATTGGCTTTTTGACAGCAGCTGATTAAACTGACCTCTACATTTTTTTTTTTTTGGACTGTGTCTCATTGTGTAGATTAAGCTGGACACTTGAACTCACCATTCTACCTCTGTCTCTAGTATTGAGAAATTCCAGGCATGCAGTTGTCATGAATATTTTCCTTCTTTGTTTTTCCATTTCTAAACTTTACACTTTAGGGAAACTGAAGCACTTCATGTTTCTCAACATGCGATTCAGGGTAGTTGCACTTCAATTTCCCAGTCAGTGGAAAAGATGTGAGACTTAGTGCTGACAGCCAGAAAATGAGAAATGTCAGTTAGTCACATCTCCCTTTGTCTGTCTCTTTCTCTCTCCCTGTCTTTCTGCCCCCTCCTCTCTCCCCTCTTCCCCCACTGCCACTCCAACCTCTCTTTGGTACTGATTAAATACAAAGCGATTCGTGGTTAAAACCAAAAGAGAACATATAATTATTTCGTTAATACCACTCAGCACCGTGGCAGGTCCTACACTGTAAGCAGGTAATGTCCTCTGTGTGACCATAATCTATACTTCTACATTATTTTTTCTTTTAAATAGACTAGAAGTTTTGCAATTGTCTTCTCGAATAAAATACTGACTTAGAGGATTTTTTAAATACCTCCTTTAAATCAGTATTACCATTAGAAGTTGGAGAAAGCTTCTCCTTGAAAGAAACTTTTGATACAAATCTAAGCAGTGAGAATGGGAGAATCAGGCTCCTTAGATTTGCAGGTCATCTGAATTTCCAGGCCTGACATAGCATCCTGCCTCTACTGGTGTTTCCTCTTTCCCTCCCAGGTTTTTCTGCATACATGATTGTTTTTAGGATGCTTATTCCTAAGGTCAATGTTCAGTCTGAAGTCATCCCTGATTGGAGTGTTCTCTATCTGAAGAAGATTAATGCATTCACCATTCAGTTGGGGAATCCTGGTTTCATAAAGCCACATGTGGAAATTGTTTTTGATGAGGCAAAGTGAATAACCAGAGGCTTATGGTCCTCAAATGTCTCCAGCCACCTTCTGCATAGTCAGGGACTTCTCAGTCTTTGGAGGGTTGCTGCTGCTGCCTCTCCTGCAGCTCCCCTATTTCCCCCTCACCTTCTAAGTGGTACTCCAGGTCAAAGTCTTCCAAACAGCTTTCACTTTCTTGAGGTCCGATGGAGGTGGAGGATACATGCGGGCGTAGCTGGCCATGCTCAGTTGCACTTCTCCTTCAGTCGACACAGCCCTGTACAGGAGCAGCTTTGACCCTCATTTTGTCCATGAGGAGCTGGAAGTGCAGAAAAGGCTGGGATGCTCTGCCCAAGTCTCACTGCCATTCGGGGGTGGGGCCCAAGCAGTGTGATGTGAGACCCCACGCTTTTTAAATAAGCAGACCCCTATTAAGTATTTCTCCCAAACCATGCCCACTGTCAACCCAACCAGCCTTTTGTGCAGATTTGATAAAAACTGTCATTTTCTCAGGTTTGAATACTAGTTACTTCTAGTTTTGTTACTAGTTACTTCTCAGTAATAGTTACTAAAGA